GCCAGGGGTCAGCAAACAGGGATGACCAGCGATGCTTTGCTGAGTCAGAAGGAAGACAGAGGCAAGCTCCAGAAAGCACAGCAGCTGGGACGTCCTCTCCTCCCTGGAAATCACTTTTGCTGTTTGCTCTGTGCCACCCAACCACTCTCTCCACGGCTCAAAGGTCTCCCCCTTCCAGGAACAAGGCTGGCAACGTTACAGCGGATCGATTCTACCACACTGCACCTTTGATTTGCATCAAGGAACTGAAGCACAAGCAAGAGCCAAGTGGAGTTGTCATTTTCATGGGTCATCAAGTTGCTTCTGACTTCTAGCAACCCTACGAATGAGTGACCTTCAGAATGTCCTGTCCTCAACAGCCCTGCTCAGGTCTTGCAAACTCAAGGCTACGGTTTCCTTTATTGAGTCAATGTATTTCATGCTCAGTTTCTCTCATTTCCTACTGAGTTCAACTTTTCCTAGCATTGCTGACTTTTCCTGGGAGTCTTACAAGAGGGTATTAAGATCATCCGGAGGCCTTTCTCTCAATCCCACCATCATCACAGGGGTGCTTGGTGGGACTCAGGGGAGGGCCTTCTCTGTGGCTGCTCCCAGAGACTCTGGAACTCCCTCCTACTGGAGGCCAGCCTGGCCCCATCTTTGCTGTCCTTCCACAAGTAGGCAAAGACCTTTCTCTTCAGGACGGCTTTCCTTTAAATGACGGTTGACCAAGGGGAATTTTTAAAGGGATGATTTTATTCTGTTGTTTCACTTGGATTTTAAATCTTGCTCTTATTATGAGTTTTAGTGTTATATTTGTTTAATGTTTAATGAGAGAGAGAGATTTCCACATTTCTATGCTACAGATTTCCTGCCTGCAAAACAAAGCCAAATGCCACAGAACAGCTTTGCAAATTCCCACACAGCTCTCCTCAATTTTACAGAAGGTATTTAAAGCCTGAACATCTTTGAACACCATCTTGTCTCTAATCACTGATCAGACATAGTGGTAGAGGGGAAAGGTGGGAACTCTCCAGGTCAGATTCATCATTCCTAATTTAGTATGACATGCTGGCCAGTGTGGCTTTGTGATGATTGAAGAAAACAAACCATGGTTAAACAAAGGTCGATTTCATGCAACACTAAACCATGGTTTAGAGTGATGTAAATAAACTGTAGGCTTGTGCGTCATCTGAACATCTTTCCCCGGCACTTACATAAGGACACCAAGACCTTCGATTTTCACTTTTAAACTATAACCAAAGTGACCAGAAACAAACTCTGGAATAGTGAAATGAAAGTTTCTTAACATGCCAGGATCATAAGCCACAGTTCTGTCCTTTCTTGTTACCACGAAACAGAGCTATGTTGAAGAAAAGAACAAACTCTGTTCAGTTTAAAACAGGAAGATGCTCAGATTTTTTTTCTCACAGCTATACATGTCCAAAATATACCACACACCACTTCCCACTAAACTATGGTTTACGGTTATGTGTCCGACGGGATACAGCCTACGTGATCAAGGCGGTTTGAACTCTTCAAGAAATATTTACCCTTCCAGATAACATTTTCAATAGTATCGGTCCTTGTGCTTTCGCTTCCAGCACTGCCGTTAATTTATCTTGCTCCCCTCTTATGTGACCCGAGACAGCAGCTTGGCTGCTACTTTTCATCTCTTATGAACAATATGACCCAGCAGATGCCCTATATGGCGTGAATGGCCACCTTTGTCTGGCTTGCTTCTGCCGTCGTCGCCATCAGCGGGCTCTGTGACAGCCTTGAGCACATTCTCTTATAATAGCCAAAGGGGCAGAAATGCTCTTTATCTTCTTAGAGATACCGAAGATGGTTTTCATATTTCCTCAAGAGGAGCAGGCATCATGGAGCAGGGCCATCAAGCTTTTCTAGCAACATGATCTTCCACTGTTGTTTCCATATCGTATCACACTTGCTAAGGACTGTTACTCCAAAACCAAACCAGAATTCCTGTGGTGTGTTCCTCTGATTACCTGCCGATGCCCTTCTCCAGTGAAGACACGTGCGGCGTGTAGTGACCTGGTGTGGACTGAGATTCGTCTGGCGCCAACGCTGATGACATTTCAGCGCCAGGTCAAAACCTTCCTGTTCCAGAAGATTTTTAATTGAAACAATATTAGCTGTGGGTCCGATGGCAATTTATATATATATATATTTAATTGCATTTTAATTGTTATGAATTTTTATTGTATTTTAAATGTTGTAAGCCGCCCAGAGACCTTTGGATAGTGTGGGCGGCATATAAATTAAATTAAATTAAATTAAAATACATTACATTACATTACATTACATTAAATAAATAAATAAATAAATAAATAAACAAACAAACAAACAAACAAACAAACAAATAGCTAGCTAGCTAGCTAGCTAGCTAGCTAGCACTAGACTGTAACTTGGGAGACTCCGGGGCTGACCCCTCGCTCCCTGGAAGACTAATCTGCTTCACAGGACCATTCTGAGGATGAAGGGGCGAAGGAGGGAACCACACGTCTTTTGACTTCAGTTCCCTGGTGGAAAGACAGAACACGAAAACAACACATCACATTTTTCAAAACCCCGTTTCGTGCCTTTACCCGTTTAGATTCCTGGAGAAATGTAATTCAATGTACACATCTTCTTTCAACGACGCTGGGGTTAGGGACGCCAGACCCCCATGTAGTTCGAAATCTCTTATGCCCCCCCAAATGCCCTGCAAAGCATAGTTGATTCACATGAACACAGAGAACAAATGAGCTTTATTATAACTGCACAACATGCCCCAGCAGCCACCTTGATGCCAGGTGAGCAGACCATCTGAGCCACCAACCTCAGACTGGGGGCCACCACACGGCTAACAACAGGGCCCTTTCAGGTCAGTCCGTGACCCACTTTTCTCAAGGCCACTTCCTGGAGACAAATAGCAACGCAGTCTTTATTGAATATTTATTGATTGACATGTTTATTTATTGGAATATTTATTTATTGAGGGGGAGGAAAAATAGTGTATAAAGCAAACCAAGCTGTGATGGGACGCACGGCAATGAAATATAAGATGCCGCCGGGGCAGAGATGTGAGTGAGGTTTTAGGAAGGAGTCACAAGAAGGACCAGGACATCAGAAGGGCAAACAAATGGCATTTCATTCAACCAGGAGGCGATCCTCCACTGCCCTTGGCAGAAGGTCACGAGACCAGCTGTTTGACACAGCTTCTATGGCAGTGGCTCTCCCAGGCTTTGCTTTTGCCCAACTGCTCTGGAGAACAAGTGGGGCAAAAGATTTCTCATTGGCCCCAAGTATGAGCCACCACCTTCTACATTCTGGTGTGTCCTTCAGCTCAGGATTCCTAGCTTGCTCCCTCTGCTTCTCCATCCCTTTTTAGTTTTAACTCCCGACCTTGGACTTTTTAAGAGGCAAAATGTGGCAGTACGGTGGTGCATCGAGAAGGAAGCCCTCTCCAAGCTCTCCTCCAAGAGGTGGCCACAGCGACACTCGGGTAACAGCATTCCATTTTCTAGGAGTGTGAACCTACGACTGCCCGCCATCCACTGTGCATCGTGTCACCACAAACGGCCCCCGTGTTGCTTCCCCTGCTTTATTTAGCCTACCTTGTGACTCCACTGCATTGTGGATACACAGGGCTTGAATGTTCATTCAAGGTTTATTTGAGGAGAACCACTTCCCGACGCCCTTTCATGAAATCAGGCTGCCAATCTGGAATGGCTTGACAGGTCTTGGCAGGGAACAAGAGTTGGATCTTGATTAGAGATGGGCAGGAACTGGCAGTTTTGGCAGTTTGTGCCGGTCCATCCTTTGGACGAACAGGTGTTTGGTGCTTCCCAGCCCTGCCTCCTCCAGCAGACACCCCGGATTCCCTGCCCTGCCTCCTCCAGCAAACAGCCCAGCTTCCCTGCCCTGCCTCCTCCAGCAGACACCCCAGATTCCCTGCCCTGCCTCTCCGAGCAAACAGCCCAGCTTCCCTGCCCTGCCTCCTTCAGCAGACACCCCAGATTCCCTGCCCTGCCTCCTCCAGCAAACAGCCCAGCTTCCCTACCTTGCCTCCTCTGACCGCTGCCTCCGAGTGGATACCTGCTGGAGGGGGTGGGGGACCCCGGCTTCCCTGCCCTGCCTCCTCTGACCACTGCCTCCGAGTGGGTACCTGATGGAGGGGCTGGGGCTGGGTAGTGCTGAAAACCTTTTCATTCAAAGGACAAATTGCCACCAACCATCAATTCCGTAGTTCGTGCCCATCTATAATCTTGATCCTTTTTCACTCTCCATGTCCTGCAAATGCGATTAATTTCCCTGCAATCAGGTGGGGAAAGGGTCTCTAAAACGTCCCTCAGGCCACCAGGACAAAGCAGAGCAATGGATTAGCTGAATACAGCTTTACTCGCATCACCATCTGGCCTGCATCTTCATGCACATATACCAAAAACTCCACCTTTATCTTTTCCCCACAGTTCAGGTGCTGATCGACACAGAAGAAGCATCTCCTTAAGATCTGTCGTGGGCTTGCTTCCCCTGAAATAGCTGCAAAATCAGAACCGTACAGTTTCACAAACACCCACTTGTTTTAGACATACACATGTACGCACATGCCTACATGCCCACAAACACCCACAAGAATACAGACAAACACATAACGCTCTCCGCGTTGTATGTCTCACGGCTGGAATCCAGTACAGTCACATTTTGTGAGAGCTTAGAAAAGTTACTTTTCTGGTCTCTAAATGCTGGAATCCCCAAGCCACCATAGCCAGGATCCCTCCTGGGTGGTGGATGCTGGAATCTGTAGCCCATCAAAGTAACTTTTCTAAGCTCTTATAATATGTGACTATACTAGATTCTAGCCATAAGACATACCTTAGACTAGATTTTGTAGTCTAAAAATTAACTTTTCTAAACTCTGCCCTTCACTATACAAACATTCGTATCTTTATGTTTCAAATTACCTTGTGAACCAAGAATATACAGAAGGTTTCTTTTTCAAAAAGCAAAAAAGTATTTATTTAAGGAAACCAAATTTATAAAATTACACACGGCATGCACCCATTTTGGAAATAATCAATACCCTTTTTTAAATCATTGAACAAATTTGCACCTAAGAAGAAATATCATTTTCATTAAACAAGCCAGAGAGACGAGGGCTGTAGTATTAAGATACCAGCATTCTTGCAGTTAAGATATCCGACCCATTTATTTAAATGCTCATCCTGATCTCTTTTCCTCGGCACGCAAGACCCATCAGTGACGTCCAACACGGCTTATTTCTGTGCAAGCATCCTTTCAAGGAAGAAGCTCTGATAGGTTAGGAGGTGAAAATTCCCATCAGCCTCAGCCAGAACAAGGCAAAGGTAAAGAATCTGGAGAGTTGGAATCCACAACCGCTGGGGGCACTGAAGACAACAACGACTCTAAAAGCTAAACATCTGGAACAGCATTCTTTAAGAAGAATGAACAAGTAGCCTGTGGGGTAAACCTATATTTCCCAAGGTGATTTTCACCTCCTTCACTATGAACATAACCCTATCCCTATTTCAGAAGGCGGTCTCTTTGGATGGAGTGCAGCTTACTCCCAGGTAAACCTTCTCTCTTGCAATTCTCTGCTCACTTATCTGGGGAAAAGCCTGACTGAACACGGTATCTCTGAGCAGACCTGTGGAGCAAAAATCTTCTCCTTGGTGAGTTGCAGCACTATCTTTTCAGAAGCGCTTCATTTTTAGAGTAAAATGTGAAATATACAATGTACAATATGTACTACTATAGATTTGAGGCCTTCCGTAACAGACCGTTTGGGCTGTTTTCCTTCACTCCGATGTCTTTGGCTGAATATCTGATTTCTCTTCAAGTTTCTCTTTAAAACCCAGTTTTCTCAGTGGCTCCCTGGCCATCAATTCCCTAAAGGAATAAACAGAAGATTTAGAAAGAATAAGACCTTCAACATGATATATTTAGCAAAGTCATTTTCTAATATCTTTTCCTTGTATTTTTCTGTACAGGAACCTAAGCACAGCCAGTCCCAGCTGAGTCTTGAAGTCTTCCATTTGGGACTTGTTTTCTTTTATTAAAGTCTTTTAATAAGACACAATATACAAACTATAAAATAGCTATAAACCAACATGCCCTACATAGTAAGCATATCAAGTGGTATTGCTAGTTAACATAAATACATCTTTCCATATAATGCAAGTTGCCTTGGGTCCTTTTCCGCCCAGAGTGGTAGAATATACCAGATGGGCGGGATATAAATCGAACAAATAAATAAAATAAATAAATAAATACAAATATTTTAACTAAATAGATAATCAATCAATCAGCATAAGTGGCTGGGGAGTGGCTAAGGGAATCCATGTTTCAAGAGTACAGTGGTGCCTCGCATAACGAGCGCACCGTACAACGACGAATTCGCATAGCGATCCCTTTTTTGGGATCGCTAATGCGAAGGCATACCGGCAGCCCCAATGGGCAAAACTCGCATTGCGAAGATCGGTAAGCGTTTCGCTTACCGATCTTCGCATTGCGATGTCGGGAAATCAGCTGATCGGCGGCTCCAAAATGGCCGCCGCGCGACCCAAAATGGCCGCGCGCAGCATTTTCGCACCCTGCCCTCGCTTACCGAGGGCGCGAAAATGGCTGCCGGATGGGGGAAACTTTGCTAAACGGTGAGTACAGAAGCCATTGGAACACATTAAACTAAGTTTAATGCGTTCCAATGGCATTTTGTGTCCCGTTTAGCCATGTTTCCCCATAGCAACAGTTAATCTGGAATGGATTAAACTCGCTATGCGGGGCACCACTGTATAGAAATTAGCATTAGCTTGGATGGAAAAAATGGACATGGTGGTGCTGCAGGTTAAACTGCAGAAGCCTCTGTGCTGCAAGGTTGGAAGACCAGCCGTTGTAAGATTGAATCCACACGATGGAGTGAGCTCCGTCGGTTGTCCCAGCTCCTGCCAACCTAGCAGTTCAAAAGCATGTAAAATGCAAGTAGATAAATAGACACCACCTCTGTGGGAAGGTCACGGCGTTCCGTGTCTAGTCGCACTGGTCACATGACCACGGAAACCGTCTACGGACAAAACGCTGGCTGTACAGCTTGGAGACAGGGATGAACACTGCGCCCTAGAGTCGGACACGACCGGACTAAATGTCAAGGGGAACCTTTACCTTTACCTGGATGGAAAAACTCACTTGCCCACTCACAACTGAGATTCTAGGACAGATTTGCTTTATAAAACCTGGCTTCATTCAGTACTATAATAAACCTTTTGGGGTTCATGATAATCACAATAATCGTACTTCTAGAACTGCAGAGCTGGAAGGGATTCTATGGATCATCGAGTCCAGCCCCTCCCTGCCGAGGAGGCACATTGGGGATTCAAACTCCCAACCACTGAACTATCCAGCATTTTCCTCCGAGGTCAGCCACATCCGGACATCTGTAAGGTGTGTGTAAGTCAGGCGGAACTCCCAGAATGGGAAACTCTAGGTTCTGGAGTCCAAGAAATCCTGCCAGAAAGAGTTCCCAAGTGAAACACACTGATTTTCCAGTGTCAGCCCTGATGGAGACAAACAGGCATGAAGCAATGCCAACTCTGTTTATCGGAAGGCAAACAGCTTATATTGGGCGCAGAAAAGAATAATGAACCTATATGATTTTACTGAGAAAAGACAAAAATGGAGGAGCCAATCTAGCTCCAAGGGCTCAGAGCTCAGCACAATCCGCACCAGCATCAGAAAACCGAGAGCGAGCATCTTTCAGCTTAAACAAGGTTTCTCAAAATAGACTCTACTCGCCTGTCCATTCTGCATTCTAAGTATTCCTTGGATTCTTCTCTGCAGACACTACTCTCAAAATTATTCACCCTCAGGCAGTTCATGAATTTTTCTTTAAAAGCTGTACATTCACCTGGAACAGAAAGAAGGCATTTTTCTGAGCAGGGAATAGAATCCGGCATGCAAGGAACAACGAGACAGAGTAAACATTGCAATTGATAAGATTTTAATTGCACTGGCAGTTGAATCTCAAGTTCAGTATTTGCGAGTCGTCTTGGGTCCCTAACCGGGGAGAGAGAAATGAAATACAGTAACTCAATCATAAATACAAGTCCCTAACCGGGGAGAGAGAAATGAAATAAACAGTAACTGAATCATAAATACAGTGGTGCCCTGCATAACGAGCGCTTCATTTAACGACGAATCTGCATAGCAATGTGTTTTTTGCGATCGTTTTTGCAATCGCATTGCGATGTTTTTAATGGTAAAACACCGCTTTGCGATGATTGGTAAGCTGTTTCGCTTACCGATTTTCGCATAGCGATGTTTTTAAAACAGCTGATCGGCAGTTTCAAAATGGCCACCGGGTAAAAAAAATGGCCGCCCGCTGTGTTTTCGCGCCCATTCCTCGCTTACCGGGCAGCGAAAATGGCAGCCATATGGAGGATTTTCGCATAATGGTGAGGTTTTTGCCCAATGTTTTAATGCATTCCTATGGGCTTTTTTGTTTCGCATAGCGACGAATCCACATAGCGACGATTTTTCCGGAACGGATTATCATCGCTATGCGGGGCACCACTGTATCTGGAGCAAGATTGCATCAGACAGAAGGGGGAGCTGAGAACAAGGGGTGGTGATGGTTAGTGAACACGGTAAGCATGCATGCAACACAGAGCAATCAGTAGCCAACCTTGAAGCCTACACAGAAAAACTTTTAAAGGTAGGGCAATGTGACAATGGAGCTGCTTAGCAAACAGCCACTTGATTGTGACAAAATCTTAGAAGACCAGACTCATTTTGGACCATGATGCCTCCCACCCAGCAGTAACTCATGGGGATGACCTCACTCTGCCTTCCTCATCAGCATCATCAGTTCAATATGGTGACACCATTTTTATGTATGCATTATTTTTTTCTTCCTACCCCCTCCAAAGGTCTCAAGACAATGAACACAACCCTTCGACTCCATTATTACAGCTTAACCACCATGGGGGGCGGGGAGTCCCACATCATTTAATGTGAAGCAGAAATGACATTGCTTCATATCCCCTTCTACCCCAAACTCGGACAGGCTCCCCAATGGGTGACGGGTGGCATGACCAGCGTTACAACCCATGTAAGAATGGACACACAACAGAAACCTGCTGGAGCCAGGAATGCTTATGTAATTTTCTTCCACCCCATGCGTATCCGACAGGATACTAGCAAAAGACTGGCTAAAGATTCCCTGAACCTCATGGATGATTAAACCCAGCTCTCCCCAATTCTAGTCAGGGGAACATCTGACTCTCCACGTGTGGGGGGGCTTTGGCTCCTAGAAGCCACACTAGCATGCCGACGGCAACAAATTAGGGGACGTCCAGACCAAACATTAGGAGGTTACCCAAAGCCTGCTCTGTCTACAATAACACACGAGGTCCTTTTTTGGTCATTCTGTAGTGTCTTATTAAAGTCCCTATTGCATGGTATAGTATGCTGAGCTACTCATAAAGGCTTAATTATATGTTTAGCTACAGTTTGAGGAACAGCTTGCACAGAATGGGTTTTTAATTGTTTAATATCGGCCAGATTACTTATGCATTCACTTGATACGACGGGCTTATTTTGAACTGTTTTTCTGTCATGGGAGTGACATATTGCAAAGGATTCACATCGTTCTTTGCTGTGACTTCTGTTGTCTGAAAAATGTTAATTTATATCAACGGGAATGCCACACAAAGAAAACAAGAGGCAATGAGAAGATCCTCACAGAGAACTTCGGGGTAAATAAAACGAGAACTAGTCTCCTCCAGAAACAAGTGATGGGCCCCTCCACATGTTCTGGGAGTACAACTCCCTAGCCAGCAGTCAAAGGTCATGGGTGCTGGGATTTGTAGTCCAAAAACATCTGCAGGGCCACATGTTGACCACCTTCGCTTTCCCACCATCTAATCCCCTCTAATCTTTTCCCTTCCTGCTCTGCATGGCCAGTGGTCGCATCCTGCTTCTTTTGACTTCATAACTTTCTACAAAGCTGCAATGAGCAAATTACAGGGTTGTTGTTTCTTTGGAGAAACTTAGAAATTTATTCTATTTATTTATGGATTTCCCATCCCAGGATTCTCCAGGCAGCAGAGATATTGGGCTGTTAAAGGGAGTGGAAAGGGACCAGAAGGGTAACCATAGGCAGGAATTGGGAAGAACTGGTCCATGAGCTGCCACAATCCCCCAGCAAATATGGTGCTGACTGGGGGATTATGGGAGTTGTAGTCCCCCGAAAAAGGTAACACTTCCAGGCGCTGTTGAATTGAACATAGTGAATCTATGGCTCTCCAGAATTTGTTTCCTTTCAGCTCGCCTTGAGGGGAAAAGAGGGCTAGCTGCAGAGGCAGGATGCGACCCACCATCAACAACACACAACCGGAATTTCTGCTAAAAACTCGACCATCCCACCCTCTTTGGGCGAGGGGGGGTGGTACCGCTCTACCCTTTCCACCTCTATGGTGCTGGCAGGACCGGGAGCCCCTCACGCCAGACCGGAAGTACAAGCGGGAGCCGGCTCGCCCTCTCCATGGTAGCGTGTGACGGTACGCGCATGCGCACTCAGCAAGGTGAAGGGCACGAGCGTCGGAACCCACCCCCCTCCATGCCCGGCCGGTCCTGCTCCTCGCCCGCCTTTCCCCTCCTCACCCAGGTGGTCCAAGGGGAAGGCGCCCTTGTCCGGCGGCCGCGGCTTCAGGGGCTTCGCGCCCATGCCCACCGCTGCGCACATGACGGCGGGGACGACTCAAACCTGGCCCGGCCTGCCGCCTCCTTCCGCTCCGAAGCCTCCTTTCCGGGATCAGGTGTTCGGGGCTCCTCTATCCGCCCTGGATGGAGGAGCTCCGACCCACCTAGGCCAGAGAAGACGAGCGCCGAGCCAATCGAGCAGGGATTGACGGCTGGCTCCCCCCCCCCTTCGCCAAGGCTTCAAAAGCAGCCTGGGTGGGCGGGGCTGTAGAATTGGATGATGATGATGATGATTGTTATTATTAATGTAGAATTAGCATTTTCCTACATGCATTATCGTTGTTGTTCAAAAATACCAGGCAGGGTCAATCCAAATTATAAAAACATTGTCTGGTCTCATATAACAGATACTGTACAAGTTTTAACCCAAACCCTGAGTATCTATTGATTTATTATCATTATTATCCTCATCATTGCAGTTACTTCTGGACCTTGGAAATTATTAATTAGTATGAGCAATTATTAATATTAATAAAACTAAGAATAAAATACAGTAGTGTTTTTTTTTCTTGTTATGTGGACCTTTGTGGGCAAGGTGACGTCTCTGCTTTTTAAGATGCTGTCAAGGTTTGTCATCGCTTTCCTCCCAAGAAGTAGGCGTCTTTTAATTTCGTGGCTGCTGTCACCCTCTGCAGTGATCCTGGAGCCCAAGAAAGTAAAATCTGTCACTGCCTCCATATCTCCCCTTTCGATTTGCCAGGAGGTGATGTTAAGAGGCTATGGCTAATTAATTGATTATTAATACTTTGTGGTTGTTAATAAAAGCTGAGGATGGAGTAGCAGAGCAGGGCTGTCTTGAGTCTTTCCCTTTAGGAAATGCCATGGCAGGGGGTTGCTTGAAAGCCAAGGGACTGCCAGAAACTTTAGACGACCATCAGTTCTAGCACTGGAATGCAAAGACATTTTGCCATCAGGGCTACTCCTTTTCCGTCAAGAAACTTTGGTTTTGAAACCTTTACACGTTTTTCATTCATACTTTTTGTGAGACTCTGTTCACAAAGTTCTTGAATGCAAAACATTCCATTCGTTGGCGGCGAACTTAGATTTTCCAGCAGGCCGGCGTGCTCTTCAGTCTTTTGCCAATTCGAAATTTAGATTTGGCTGACAGAAGAGACAGGATCTTCTTGGGGGTCTGCATTTCACACACTGGAATTTGTTACCGAGGGGTTGATCTCTGATTGCAGGATACAGTCCTATCTAGGAAGGCTTTCCTGTTTGTATAGATATAGACATAAAATGGTCAACACCAGCAATAATATAAATATAATCAGAGTAAGGGACATAATAACATAGAAAAAGCCAATATGAGTTCTTGTTTAGTTCTTCAGATTTTTCTGTTCTAAGATCCCTTTTTGTGGTTGTATTTAATTATTGCTGGGTTTTGTCATTTTCTCATTTCCTGTATTACTGCACTGTTGGAGATATGTGGGGAGTAGATACATAGAGTTCTTCTCTTCAAGCTGCTCTCTAGGACAGAGATAGCCTGCCTAATCTACTTTATTAAGTTTCTAATGACAAAAAAAAAAAAATATGTGACGATTCTCACTCATCCAGGTGAGGTTATCCAGAAGTTGAGTCATGGCAACTGGACTTCTTTCTTGTTAGATTGAGACGCTTCGCTCCTCATCCAAGTAGCTTTTTCAGTCTGAGGAGAGCTGGTAAGAGACCCCTGGATATATCCTTTCCATTGGTTTCACTTCCCCTTGGTCTTCATAGGCTCCTTAGAAGGACAAAGACAGATTGTACCTAACGCCTCCACCCCTGAGCCATTGCCCCTCTTGTGATGGGCCATTCTCCTGTTTAGTGGCTGTTTGGCTTCTCCAATGTAGACCTCCGAACACTCCTCTTTGCATTGGACCGCATATACTATATCGCTCCTGTTGTGTTTTAGTGTCTGGTCTTTTAGGTGGATGAGTCTCTGCCTTAATGTGTTTGTGGGTTTGAAGTACATTAGTATGTGGTGTTACAAAAATCCTTTTGAGCTTTTCAGACACACACACGATGTACAGAATGACCAGGTTCTCAGTCTGTTCCATTGTCCTCCTGGGTCAGGACATATCGCTCCTGTTGTGTTTTTGTATCTGGTTTTTTGGGTGGATGAGTCTCTGCCTTTGTGGGTTTGTGGGTTTGAAGTGCACAAGTATGCGGTGTTTACCAAAAATCCTTTTGAGCTTTTCAGACACACCGGCCATGTAAGGAATGGCCAGGTTCTTTCGTTGGCTCTGCGTTTCAGTGGGTCGGGACACTGCCTTGTTAAAGGCCCCTTTTGGATCTCCACAGGCCTTAAGGGCTGTCCTCAGATGTCCATCTTCCTTCTTCTTGGCTTCTATGTGTTGGATGCAAGTGTGGATGGAGAGAGAGCAATCGGATAGCATGCACTCAGGCAATCTCCATCTTGGAAAAAGGCCCTTCGTCAAGGAAGAAGGCACACAAGAGAGAGAGGAGGGGCAGGAATTGATCAATACACAATAGCGTCCCAGTAGTGGGGTAGTTCTGAATGATTGGCAGACTCACCCACTGCATACCAGGACACCATTTATCTGCATATAGACTCACCCACTGCATACCAGGACACCATTTATCTGCATATTCCAACACCCTTTTCTCAGATCACTGTGTTCCTGAATCAACCAGATTCAATTTCCCCCACAGATGTTGGCATCTATCCCTAGCCAACAGCTTAATTAGGATACCTGCAGTTGTGTCCTTAGTGGGACATGACCACAGATGGGGAGGAGATATTGGGGTCTCCTGCCAACCCTCCTCAGACTGAAGAAGCTGCTTGGATGAGGAGCGAAACGCTTCGGCCTAACAAGAAAGAAGCTCCAGTGGCTATGACTCAACTTCCAGATAATGAGACTCAACTGCCGGGAAACGCTGTTGATCTTGCCCTGAAGCCCTGAAGGAAAGGGTGGGATAAGAACGGTGATTAACAGTTGCATAAAAGGGGGGATTTTTTGGCAGCTTGTTCTATGGAAATATGAAAAACCAAATTGCTTCAGTGGAAGAATGTTGTCTCCTCACCTGGGGTGTGACTAAGCTATGGTAATGTTCAATTTTGTTGTGCAAGATCCTTTGGTATACAGTTACCATCACAGGCATTGAATTCGCATGGGAGCAAATAGCTTTTTCAGAGAAGGACAAATTTGGTATTTTTTTTAAAAAAAGAGAGGGGGGAAGAAGGAAAACAACAACATAATCTTCGCTTCTTTAGTCAAAACTAGCTCTGTGTGCAACATCAGATGGAGCAATTACATTTTTAGCGATGCTTCACAAAGTGATACAACATTTCAGTCATGACCTACTCTCAAAGAAAAATATACAACACCTGCAAACAAATCAAAAGAAGGCAAACATAACATGGATTGAACACATTTCTCGTGAGTCAAAACAAATTTTGCATTAATGCACTGATGAAGGGATAACACTGACCCAAACCCTGTTGCTTGGTGTAGTAAATCAGACTAGAGCAGGCCCATTCGAATTAATGGTACTTACAAAGGAGTAAGTTCCATTACAAATATGGTGGCCCTAAAGGTAAAGGTAAAGGTTCCCCTTGACAATTTTTGCCCAGTCGTGTTCGACTCTAGGGGGCAGTGCTCATCCCCGTTTCCAAGCCATAGAGCCAGCGTTTTTGTCCGAAGACAATCTTCCGTGGTCACATGGCCAGTGCGACTTACCGTAGTGCAAGTTACGATGCTAAGCAACAGGATTTTGGCCACGGAAAGCTGAAGAGTAAAATTTACAGACCCAGTCTAAACCTAAATACTGAAATGAATCTTAAGTTCAGTCTAAAAGTTAAATTCCTACTTAAACACTACGGCGAAACCCAAGCAGAGTTGACAGGTGAGCAATGTCTCATTCCATGAAATTTCAGAGCAGAAATCTGAGACCTGAGATGGGCTAATCTGACTCACAACTGATAAAAATATGAGGACACAAAGATTTCCCCCCACTACTTCTCAGAGAAGTACGATGTGCCCAACATGCATGCGAAAGCACCTTTGAGTTGAGTCAGAGAGCATGAGTCCCAACTGGGGGTGGGTGAAGCCCTCTCTTGATGTTCACATGAGCTGCGTGTTCTCTCCAGTATCCTGGGCCCAGATTGTGCAGGGCTTTAAGAGATAGTCATTACGGAAACATTGCCTGTTCAAGTAAGCTAGTTGTCATTCCTTGTGCTTCTGGTTGTTTTCCCACTCTATAATTTGGAACTGTTCACTAAGCAGAATAAAGTGGCTTTCTCAGCCAGCGGACACTGAAAGAGCGGGAAATGGTAAGATATTCCATTTCTTATTACTGTCTTTGTGCTTCTAGACACGGAAGAAGCGCCTGAAAGGTTTTCCCAAAGAATGGGTGGATGTGGGTCCTGCACATTTTGTCTTGTGTGCGTTCAGAGTGCTGACTGCACTCTGAAAAACCTCAGCTTTCAAGCCAAAAAAAAAAATCAGATCAACCCTTCCTCCTCACTCAAAACATGAGCACATGGGTGGACCTTTTCGTACCTTCGCTTCCACTCCATAGAAACACAAGAGGAGATCTCTGATCTTTGATTCCCTAAGGAGAAAAACCTCTCTGCTTGTGAGCTACACCCATAAAATACCATGAGCTTCCTGTGCCTCAAATATAGATCAACAGGACTGGACTTGTAAAGATGTTATTGTAAATAAGGTTGTGTTGCTGATCTGCTGTTTGTAGATGTTGACACTCTCAAAGCTTGTCTTTCATGTCAGCTCTTTCACACCAGCAGTTATGTATTGTATAAGGAGAGCAGTGTCTAGTTAGATTATACTGCAGTGTTTATGTAGAGGAGAAGTTAAGGTATAAAGAGTGTGCATCAGTGCACCCATGTTTTGAGAGCAAGTGATGGGTAGCCTGGATATCTTTGCTTTGGGGAATGTAGCTTCAAGTATAACAAAATAGAACATTTTTCTTTTTCTTTGAGAATAATCTTACAGCGTTGATGTGCCTACCTGTAGACCGTACTGCACCAGAGTTTTAGAAACCCATTTAAAACCCTAAAATACAAAATACAGAATACAAACTAGCATCAATGAAAAGCTGAGTGAAACTTCCAAATCGT